GTCAGCTGGATACACTACAACAACAGATTCACTCACTGTCTGCTCCTCTATCCTCATGACCTCATCTTGTGATTTATCATCGCTATTTTCATATTTACTCCGTCTTCATCGATTTGCGGTCGCGATCTTCTAAAATTAATCTGTTCATATAGGTCTGAAATAAAAATAAGGAGAGTTAACAAAAATCACTGCTATATTGCACTATGGATTCTTAGTATATTATAAACAGGATAAAAAATACTATATAAAAACAACTTCATGTATCAAATCAGTTATCTTCCAGCTGCCATCATAATATTATATACCATTATCAAAAGTAAATTTTGCTTATTGTATGACATCAAATAATTATTAAGAAAAGAATTTGACTGCTCATAGTATTAATGGAAAACAATTATTTACAAGTACCTGTAATAGCTACATTAAAAGGATCTGATTTTCTCTGTACATTTTCAACATCATCACCATACAGTATCTCCTTACAGTACAGAGGAATGTTGCTTTACCAGACTTGGCATTGAAATTAGTGGTACAGATCAGCATATATTTTGTAGAATTAAGATCTGAACTTTTCTTCAGCTCCAAGTGGGGAAAGTGCAGGTGGTCAAGGCAGTATTGGCCATGCTGCTTCAGTGTGTACTGTACAGAAAATGTGCTACGTATACAATGTGCATTATCCGCACTGTCCAAAAGTGCCTTCAGCCATACCTGTGTCCATTGTGAACAGAAATGGCTGGAAGTGAGTTGGTCCTACAACATGTAAGGTCTTCAGCCTTGGTGGCAACTTTAGCTTCAAGAAATAATTAGTTGTAAGCTGAAAGTATCAAAGGTGAACTGTACCCACACCGCCCTCAATAGGTTGCCAGGCTTGGGGACCCACCTTCACTTTTCACAGATTAGATGGAAATACACATGACCTTATGGTGGGTTCTGGGTCATAAATAAGAGTAATAAAGATAAACCTGTATCATGTATCACTTTTATATACTGTATCTCTGCAGAATCATGTAAGTTGTTCATAAAGTGGTGTATAATCTAAATGTTTAGTACAGTACATATACATCTTCAGTTCCATGTTACAGCACCATACAAAGACTTTATATGCTTTTAAATCATAAGAAATATATGTTTGTGGTGCCCACTAACTATAATTATCTCAGGGGTAAGACAACTAACATGCCACATTGTCTCCACTGACAGACTGCACAGAATCCCACTGACCAACATAATTATCTACAATTATGCTGAAAAAAGGTAGAAGATGAATATAAATGTGAAAAAATAAAAATGATTAACTCTGAAATAAATGTCTAACCTTTGTTACTTCAGTTAAATTTGTGATGATTTGCCTGGTTTTCTTTATGGGTCATTATGTACACAAACTACCCCTCGTCTAAACTCTTTTTATGGTAAAGATACAATCAAATTGTCTGTATTTCTTCTTATAGAGAAAAGTAAGAGGAAACAAACACACCACAAGACACAAACACAGTGATGCAAAGTTCCCAACATACAACATGAGTCTGTGTTGAACTTTGTTTTTGAAGGGAAAAATCATACTCTAGAAGCCTCAGGAAATAGCTGCACATAATGTATTAAAAGAGCTATTATAATACTTACAGAAACAATATCATAACTATATACAGAGTGTCTCAGAAAATGGGAGACCACACACATCACAACCGGGGATAATGTTGCTGTTGTAATACATACAAGCATTCACAAATACTGTATCTGTAAGGTGTGTGTATACATTTTGAGACACCCTGTTCTCTACGTTGTATAAGTACAGTACATGGGGTTCATATCCTGAATAAAGACCATCCTGCCAGGTTGCTTACAGTGATCGTGTTACTGTGCTTAAGGACGATTATTCTGTTATGAAAAAGCCTGTGAAACTGATGTCAAAGCTACATTTAATGGAATACTATACTAGTGAATTGCCATAATGAAGGTACATGAGCAAACATCAACTAATGAAACAACTATCATACCTGTAGTTCAATTTCTTGGGAGATTCTCTTTTCTTCTGCCACATTAAATCGTGCGTTCGAGCCACTCGAATCATACGGGCAATGTCGTCACCATAGTTCACCTTCTGCTCCTTGGCAAGATCCTGTTCTGTTTTCAGGGTAAAAAGGAGAACTTATTATAAGATTTTGTTTAATTATAACTCTGTAACACTCATGATAATATAGTAGAAATTAAATTAATTTACACCAACGAATGAATTAAGTAACATTGTACATTAATAATAGTAAACAATACTGCATTATACAAATGCAATGATATATTCAGTCAATTCTATAACATCGGTGGTGTTTGTGGTACAGTGGCAATGTGTTTACACAAGGGGTTAATAATGACTTCCATTACATAATTAGAAATACCTGTATGTTTTCTATGGCATTAAAAAAAATTGACACTCGACCCCTCATGAGTTATCGCATTACCTTAAATTTCTATTGATTTCACAATGTCCTCAAACAAACACAAAACTGCTAGAGCCAAGTTTAGCGGTACTAAATGAAATGTAAATTGATAGTGTAATAGCTGGATCAAGGACAATCTATGAGAAACTGAAAATTCCAACTCACTGTAATTTCACCAAGAGTCGGCTTCAGATGTTTAAAAGTAGTATAGGGGATCTTAAAGACAACAGAGAAAACAATCAGCCACCTGCCAGCTGTCCAGGCATTAAACTTCGTCTCAGCTCATGCTCCTTGTGTGTTGCTGACAATATTCACACCTCCAAACATTTCTTCATTGCTAATTTTCACATCTCTCTTATAACTCTACACCTTTGTTGCACATAATTAGCATAATTATAAAATTTTCCATATATTACATGAGAGTAATTGAGGAGAAATCGGAAAATCAGGCAAGTGGCTGAGTTACTGTGAGGAGCAAGCTACTTTACATCACTGAGTTTGAGGAGTAAGTTAAGTGGTGATTATAGGAGAATGATAACACACTGAAAGCTTATTTATAGACTTACTAACATTGCACATTAAGCTTACCAATATAAAAGCTGTACTATTCTAGCACATTTTCATTATTACTAAGGAAAGGATCAGGAAACAGTGGAGATTTTTTTAACTTTGGGATGTTTGTCAGCAAAAGCATCATTTCCTTTTCCTTGAGGAGGCAGAGTTAGCATCTGAACCCCATCTATAAACAGTACACACAAAGTAATTATGCCCCATATGATGCCTGTGTTTGTAAATCAAACAGCACAAATTTTCATAAACTTTAAATACTCATAAACTGAATACCTGTAAATATCCCACTAAAATTCCTGAAACATTTTAATACAGTATAAAAATTTCTCTGGTGTTTTTCAAGTCACAATGCATAAATATGATACAGTAAGTCTGGTGCTAGAATCACCAACTTGGCAACAGTGACTGTTGGCAGGTGTGCCACATGCTGTACTGTATATAGAGCACAGTGAACTTAATGATCAAAATTAATAAGTAAAAGATCAGTTTGTACTGTCAGGGTATTGCCCATAAACTGAAATGTAATTATTTTTAAATGTAACTACAGTCTACAGGGATACTATAAATACAGTACAGTAATAATGTAGAATGTTAAATGTAATAATGATGAGACAAAATTAAATGAGTAAAGTAAAGGAACTTACCTCTCTGTAAATGTTTAATGCTCATCAAAGTTATCTGTTTCAAGCAGGGCCTGGCTGGCAAGTAATGTGTTTACTATAAGGATCTATTTCTAGGGATGTTCGCAATCCTGACAACCAATTCCATCTCTTGAGCTTTAAGTTGCATAGTGCCTGTTTGTGTAGTAGACAGCAACTGATGGTTTTTGACTGAAAAGGATAAAATGATTAATAATATCACCTTATCTTCTCATCTACATGCAGTATGAACTGAATTTTTACAAAAACCATAACTGAACTATATGTAATTCTGGGAATATGAATCACTAAATAGATACAATATAGCTCATGAGTGGTTTATATCAATTAGGTGAGGTGTAAGGGCTGCAGCCCTCTTCCTGTTGTTTTGCAGTTTAAACACAATAATAATATTTTTACTACTACTACTACTACTACTACTACTACTACTACTACTACTAATAATAATAATAATAATAATAAAATAATAATAATAATAATAAAATAATAAAATAAAATAATAATAATAAATAATTAACAGTTTATTGAAGAGCATGGCAGCCAAAAGGCTGAAAATATACAGTAGTATAATGGGAAAATATGGGAATGGGTCACTTGATTGACAAATATAATACAAGTAATATAAGTGATACAAATATGATATATAATAACTAGATGGGGAGAAGGTTATACTACAGGGCATTTTAACATAGTGACAGCACAAAAGGTAAGATTGGCTGTGAGTGAATACACTGGTGATTCCGAGTTATTGATAATTTTACAATGGTTGGGACTGCTGTTCTTATAACGATCAGCACGCGCTCTCATATGGGCTGGATGCGGTTAGTGTCAAACAAGCCCTGAAGAAGGATCTCGGTGAATATTCTTTGTCAGAAATGGATGAAATGGATTGAGGTAAGTCATGGAGGTCATTGGGGCAACAGGTTTTCTAACCCAGTAAATTTTTTGACCAGGAATCATGTGAGGTCACATTGTGTTTTGTTAACTCTTGAGGTCAACTGTATGTGATATATTGTTCTTCTGTAGCTCCTGTCAGTATCCCCAGAGTTGCCAGGTACTGTACTTTTGGGGCGAATTACTACCTGTAATAAAACAACATCCTAATAAACCAGGATTTGAAGATGAATAAAATGTTTTTGACTGTTTTACTGGACATGATATTGAGATTTACAGTTTTTGTCATTTTATTGTTTGCACTTTTAATTCAACTGATTTTACCGAGTTGCTTTTTTACTTTCATTTTTTTTTTAAATAAAGATTTTTTTTATTTAGACATTGATATACATGTTTGCATTTGCTTACCTTCTACTATTGAAAATATTTCCGTGTTGTCATACCGACAAAAACAAGAGAAAGAATGTAAACACTATAGCCCATTAGATGGAGGTGACCAGGTGTAGAAAATGAGTGCTGTATTAAATATTTCCACCACATATACAGATTATTATTTTTTAAATTGATGAAAATGAAAACTGATACAGTTATAAGTGATGATATGCAAAGTGGTGTGTGTACTTGTGCCAAAAGGGCTGTATATCAAGCAACGGTTTCACTGGTGTCAGTTAGTAAGTATAAAAAGTTAACTAGAATTACATTTCCAAAATCAGTGAGTCTTCCACGGTGCAGCGCCTTCTAAGCCGAAAATACAGTACTGTATAATAAATGTGTCCTCTTAAAGTGTGAATTTGCTACCGAGTTTAACAGTTAATTTATGTATAAGATTTCTGATAAACTTCCTACGTGCTCATGTTTGAAATAATGAACAAACATAAAACATTAAAAAAATAAGGAGTCTGCAATAGTTGGCTTGTGCATGGCAGCTCCGTCGAGAGTTACTACCACTTCTATCATCCATGAATCTATCTAGCCTCCTTTTAAACTCCCCAGCATTCCAGCACTTACTACAAAGTTGCTGCTTGTTCCACTCGTCCACTACCCTATTTTTGAACCAGTTCCTTCCTATCTCCTAAACCTAAACTTATCCAACTTAAATCAGTTGTTACGAGTCCTATCCTGCTTGGATATTATAAGAACTTTATCTACATCTCTCCATTGATTCTTCACCCATTAAATACTTTCATCATATCTCCCCGACTCTTCGCCTTTCTAGGGAATGCAAGTTTAGTTCTTTAATCTATCTTGATATGGAAGGTTTCTAAGTCCCGAATCATTTTCGTCATTCTTCGCAGCACCGACTCCAGTGAATTGATATCCATTCTATAATAAGGGCACCAGAACTGAACCGCATAATCGGTGCGCCTGACTAGTGCATAAGATATAGTTGCAATAAGACCTCTGCACTCTTATTACTTGCACTTCTAGATATAAACCTTATTTCAACATTAACACACTGTTTTCTAGCCATAGGTCCGGCTTGGCAAGTACCGTCTCTTTCACGAGTCGATTTCTAGGTTGATGTTGTTCAGGCTGTATACATACATTGAATGTATGTACCTTTATATAATGAATATCTTTCTCGTCATAAACGGTCATCCCTACGATTATGAATAAACTCATTTAGAAATACATCATTACTTTAGGACGAAATCAGACAGGAGGGGCGGCATATCTTCTCTGCTGGGAAAAACATACACTATAGTGGTCAATTCACACCTTTGTTCCAGAGTATTATACGTCCATGATCTGTAAAACAAAATTAAACCAAATATTTTTATATCATCGTCTCGTGTGTCACACCAATAGTACGTAATTTCCTTAACCATGGAATAATCTTAACAAGTAATATTTGAAACAAACACCTTATTTATAACCATGATTAAAAGCTACAGTGAAGTTAGTGCTGATGTTGTCTATAAACTCGTAAGCTCTAGATTAAATGGGTAACGTGCTTAGGTGAGAGGTGTGTGAGGCCTACAATACATCAGCAAAGTAGTCGAGACGAGGCCAAACTACTTTGGAGATCAAATATTTCACTCACAATCGCGTCAGTGTAACATTTAATTGCTTCGTCAAATTTCCTGACAGAAAAAGCTTGTTGCCTCTGTTTTTGAGTTCCACGTCCGTCATTATTCGTGACAGGCTAAACACAGTCCTCCTAACTGTTCCCTGTCGCCAACTTGTTTGTTTACAATCACCATCAGCTGATAGAGGGAAGACAAGTGAGCACAGGAAGCGTACTGTTTGAAACATTATTTTATTTTGTATGTGACAAAAATGGATAAAATGTATAGGGAAAATCATAACAGAAAAGGTTAATTTTCTAATTACACGCGTCTTTATTAAATCTTTGCAAGAAATTGCCCTTGTGCAAGATGTATAAAGTGTACCCAATACGTGCCTGTTGAAATGTCAAGAGCTCCTTACATTCTGGGGCGAATCTAGGCTGTTGAAATTGTGATTTTACTTTTAAATGACATTGTAGTGAAGTATACAAGCTAGGCAGTGGCGCAACGGGAATGTGACTTCACCACCAAATTTTGAATTCCCATGAAATTTTAGCAGATATAATCGTGTAAGGACAGTCGAAAAACTATGATTTAATATTATTAAAGACATATTTTAACAAATTTCGGATTGATTTTTGTTCCAGGTTTCTGTTAAAACGTGCCCAGCGTTTTTCTTCAGTCACGCCTTGTCATTGGTGGTGGTACACCGTTTTTTTCAGGGAACGCGGGCGAGGTCCCATAGAACGAGGCGTTGAGAACTTTCAGATCGCCAGCGTTGACACCAAAGCAGTGTAGTGTTGAGTGTTCCGTGTCGGTTAACCTGGTGGTTTCTTGATTTCTTTGTATGATTTGCAAAAGTGTAAAGAGAAACGGGTATATTCTAATAAAATGTATATTGAAATTCAGTGAAGTGTAAGTCAAGGGTCCCGGGAGAGTAATATCTATTTTTCTGAGGAGCAATTTAGTCGAAATAAGGTGAGTTCACTAAATCACTGATAGTGCAAGGATACAGCCTGCCAGGCCAAGGTGAGTGCGTCAGTAGCCTCCACCTCATCCCCAGAAACACTCCTACAAATAGGGTTATAGCCTGGAGAGGGGGGTGGGTTATGAGTGACGATAATTGACTGGCGCGTTAGAGTGAAGATGTTGTGTGTCTCAGGTGACGTGACTGACCTGTATAACTTAAAGAGACCAGAGGCCACCGAGGGGAAAGACCGAGGGCGGGATGGAGGGATGACAGAAGTATAGGGTGGCGAAACTGACAAGAGGTAGACTGAAGTGAACGGAGAGAATTATTCCAGGGCCCAGAGATTAACCCGGCTTCCATTTAGGGTTTCTCCCATAGCCTTTCACTGAAGAGTGTGACCACAAGGCAGTGGCAACACTAGTACTGAGTATATAACACACGCGTTGTGTTACACATACTAGTATATAACTATGCGGTTATATACATAGTATACATAACACATGCGGTTACATACACTAGTATACATAACACACGCGTTGTGTGAAGAAACAAGTGCAAAACTTTCACTGGAGGATAGTACTGTACTGTTAAGTACAACACCACCAGAGATTTAAATCATCGTACTAGTAATTGAAAAGAGAGTTAGGAGTATTTTCACAGCCTCTTATGATGAGTTCATGGCGATATCAACCTTTGTAAACATTGGGTTTATACAATAATATGAAAGTATATGCTGGTTTCAGACTAGCAAGAATTTAATGGCCATTAATGTTTTCTCGCCATATCTCGTTCATCAGCCACCCGGCACAACACGGTCGTGCCAAGAAGTAGTAATCTCTGTCATGCGCCAGTCGAATGTGCATCACACCACCAACAATCACTGAGTAATGTATCCCACTCTGAGCTAATGAATGCTAATATAGGTCCAATGGAATCATGGGAGGCGGTAATCTTCAAGGTATTGTACTATGATATGGCAGAGCAAACATCTACTAATGAAACAACTATCATGCGGTCATACCAGTTCAATTTCTTACATGGGCAATTTTTTCTTCTGTCACATTAAAATTTTCTGTTTCTAGGTGTAGTACGTAGGCAGCTATCAAACATGGACGTATTACCGCCTGGGAAAAATATTGAGTGTCATAATGTGTTCAATGGTGTAGACCCTGCTGTCATATGGTACCATAAAATTGTGACCAAGTCCCAGGTTGCTCATCTGACTTTCTGCCTCATTTACACACAATTGCAGGGTCTCAATTGTTTCTCTTACTTAGTCAACAAAACGTATATATCGTTTCTCACTATTGATATTTTTATTTATTTTTTTATTTATGGTCCTTTATTATTATTATTATTATTATTATATCTTATTTAATATCCTATTTAATATTTTTTATTAATTATTATTATTATTATTATTATTATTATTTGTTTGTTTTATTGGGACCCCCTACATCCTTGTATGTAGCAGAAGCGTTTACAGCCCAACAGGAAGCATGCTAAGTTCATGCTTGTCTATATGTCTCACGATTTAAGGCGTAGAAGCCTGAAGAGTCGAGGGCGTAGAAGCCTGAAGAGCGAGGGTGAAGCCTGGAAGAGTCGAGGCGTAGAAGCCTGAAGTCAGTGGTTTATGTCATCAAGTTATTGGAAGCTCCAACAACTTTCCCTTAATACGAATTCGCAACTTTCGACTTACAACAGGTACCTACTTTACTGCTAGGTGAACAGGGACTAATGGGGGCTAGAAGTATGTCCAAACAACTTCCACCGGCCGGAATCGAACCCGTGACATCTCGCTTGCGAGGCAATTATTATAATTTCGTCCCCAGGCCGTGATGTGGGTTATGACCTGGTGCCCGGTGGGCTAATCGCGTAAAAAAAAATAAAAAAACATACACAGTGCTTCCTGGATGGCGTGTAAAGGATGGTTTGCTGACATTGTGGAGTTAATGCGAATATTGTAGCTGCAGGCTGGACACACTTTTCTTCATTGATACTAGCCTCCCCACGGGAGCTTTTGGAAATTGTGATATGAGCGCTGATTAATGTCCATTTTAATCTTCTGAGATATGTCCAATATCTCAAAAGGCCTATTTTTTAAGGATTGGTGATCAAATACAGAAAAATATACCCGTAAATTAAACAAATATATATTTTAAGTAATGATTCTTCCTTTTCCTGAAAGCCTGGTCTCAACATTTTACCAGCACAGTTAAAAATTAGAGATATCACGCTCCTGCTAGAGCCCACTGCCCACCTGCTGACTGAAGACCACTGGGGGCAGTGTGGCTATAGCAATAAGAGTTACCTCCCGCTTGGCTCCTTACGGCCATAATGTTAGTAGGAGGTTCTGTACATCCTAGTAAATGATAGACAGTGAGTGACGCATTTGTACCAACATTAAACTGAAGGACTGAGTGTTTTAATATTGAAGGATTTTCTTAAGTGAATTTGAAAGACAAATTGTTCTCTTCATAAATCAGACTGATGGGCAAAATGAGATCTCAAGCTAATTTTCATTTTAACTTGGCGGGAAATTTTTCTTCAAGGGCTTCTCGTCAAGAAACTGTCCCTCAGGTCAACTCATCAGTACAATCAGAAAGCTTTGTGTTAGAAAATTGTCCTATTATAACTTTCAATAATATATGAGACACCTAACCTAACCTAACCCAACCTATTTCTAACCTAACCCCAAAGGCTGCAGTTGGTATTTTTTTAGAGGTGCAATAGCTGAGGGGGGTTAATCTTCAGTGATCAAAACATTTCCATCACGGTTATTGGTGGAACAGAATACGTCGTTCATTTTAGTGGCACTTTAGGAGGTGGAGTGAGTGCCCTATTTCTGCTGGGATCATTATAAAGATTAGGTTGAACAATCATTATTTTATGCTATCAAAGGATGTAAGGAGAGGAAGGGAAGGAAAGGTGATGAATAAGAGGAAGGACGAGAAGGAAGTGAAAGGAAGGAGGAAGAAAGATGGATGAAAGAAAGGCCGACGAAGAACGAGGCGGAGGAACTAGTAGTCGTGGAAAGAAGGGGAGAAAAACGAGAAAGGAAGGAAAAGACGATGAAAGAGAGGGAAGAAATGAGAAAAGAGGAAGGATGGGTACTAATGAGGAAAGAATACAGAAGAAAGAGGTCACAGGTTAGAGTGTTATATTATTGTGTGTGTGGTGTGGACTGTGGTATGATGAGGAGGCTGTTGTTATCACTGTCCGGCCAGCTGTGAAACAACTCAAGCGGAACCACACGCACTTACCTCTTCTCTTCCGTGTGTGAGTGAGTGAAGTGGGGTTCTTCAGTATAACAAGAGAGACAGTGATAGGGTCAAAATATTTCACAAGGACTCAACATTGCTCTACATTCGTTAAGTGGAAAAAAAAAAAAACCGTTCAGTAAGTCAAGGCGTTTTGTGGTATATACTGTAAACACGTTTTATTAGGTCGTTAGTGTTATAATGAATGCTTGGAGATATGTAATAATATTTGAGGGCAATAACTGTCTCTATTGCCTCTGCCAACCGATTAGCACACTTTTATCATTTCTGGTCATAAATGCCTTTATTTAACGCGCCTTTTCTCTAAGCATTGCGTAGAGCTTTATGTTCCAATGATTATTACATAAACTCAAATGGACTGTATAAAACCTACCGGTCATAGTAGAATAGCTTATAGCCGCCGGTTATAAATTTGAGCACAGTATAGCTTCCACGCTGTACCGAGTAAACAAATTCTAGAACCATCATTAAATGGGGCTGAAGAAAATATACTTGTCCAACATTGATCTTCATATACTCTACTGGCGTTCATCTGAAGGACTTCAATGGGCTCCAGTCAGAAAAGGTAGGTATATACGGTGTAACGACTGTGTAGTGGTGACAAGGTTCTGTACAGAATTCTTGGTGGCACTCGATCGACTTCGGGAGTTCGGGAGTTCTTCACCATAACTAGCCACCCCTACAAATAATTATAAACAATAAATAAATTCAAATATAATATAAATAGTAACATAAATACAAATATTAAATTGCCTACAGGCATTTTATATTTCAGAGGAATTTCGTATAATGGAGTAAAGATTGAAATTTACTGAACGTGGTCACAATAAAGGCCTATTGTTTCTAATTTAGTGATGTTTTATTATATTTGTTGCGAGATGTATACTTCCTTGTGTGTAACTCGTTTGTACAAAAGATCCGCGGATGAGACAAATACTACAAAA